ATATGTTTTTTAAAAGGCAGATGAAAAATATTAAAAATCCTTAGTCACAATTTTTTTTATAAGCATTTAAAGTTCAAAAATTGACAAAATATGGAAAAATCACGAAAATTAGCAAATTATTTTGAGTTAAGAATTCGTAAAAATTTTTCTATTTAAATCTAAGATTTGAAAATGAAACACAAGATTCCTTATAAGATTATCTACCTTTATCAATAAAAAAATCTCTACCGGACAGTCAAATTAAATTTTTATGAGCGTTTGAAATTCAAATTTTTACAACATTGGATTTTCACTCGATTACTCATGTAGCGATTTCCTTATTTTGTTGCAATTCAAAAACGAACAACTGTAGATACATGAAAATTTCACTGAATGTTTAAATTAGCATTTTCTATACACCATACAATTTTGAAAATATTTTGACTCTTTTTGAGCTGTTTATGGACATTTACAGCTTTCAATTTTTTTTAGTTTTTTTTTCTATAAATATCAATTAAGGTGTATCTGTTGGGCCAAAAAGTGTAAAAATTTAATACAAGGCTCCTGATATATTGTTAAAATATCAGTTGAAAAATATTAAAAATACATAGGCATGATTTTTTTTTATAAGCATTTAAAGTTGGAATTTTGACAAAATTTATCAAAATCTCGAAAATTATCAATCGTTGGAATTAAAAAATTATAAAATGTTCAGTTTTTATAACTAAGAGATGAACATTTAAAACAAAGATTCTCTTAAATAATTCATACTGTAACCAAAAAATCTAAAAAATATATAAACACACTTATTTTTTACAGACATTTTAATTTCAAATTTAGACAAAATTTCATATTTAAACCAAGAATTACGATTTTAGTTATTTTGTTTTGATTGAATAATATTATTCGTGGGTACTTGAAACTTCTAAAGTGTACTATTATATATCTATGATAGTATCACGGTTTTTGTTGATGTATAACGCGTTATAAGTATCTAATGGATATTGTGATATGATTAGTTTGTAATTTATTATAGGTACCTATAATAGGTCAATTTTTTGTTTAATACCAATATACCATAGATATGTATATAATATGTCTTATACATAGACTGACATACCGTCACCGCTCAGAATCGTTTTTCTTATACAATGATATTATATCATTGAATTCAAATTTAATACCATCCATTATACAGTGACCCACTTGTAACCTACTGTACAGCAGAGCGACACCCACTTGCCCACCTTTTTTTATAAGCATTTAAAGATTGAATTTTGACAACATTTATCAAATTTAAAATTGAATAATTATTTTGTAGTTAAAAATGTATAAAATGTTCAACTTCTATATCTAAGGATTGAATATTTAAAACAAGATTCCAAGTAAGTAGTTAATTCTGTTAACCAAAAAGTTATATTTACTTATTATAGGTCAATTTTTTTTAATACCATAGATAAGTATATAATAATATGTCTTATACCTAGACGGCTAGACTGACATATCGTCTCCGCTCAGAATAGTTTTTCTTATAAAATGATATTATATCATTGAATTATTTGAATTCAAATGTAATACTATCCATTATACAGTAACCCACTTGTAACCTACTGTTGTACAGCAGAGCACTTTTAGATTCTGAGTGAAACGATGAATGTATTGATTATTCTGAGTGAAACGATGAATGTATTAATTTTACAATGATGTGTGTTTTTTTTTTTAATTTTTAATTTTTTAATTTTTTAATTTTTTATTTTTGTGTCTGTGTACACGATAAGTAGTCGAAATAATGCTTCGATTTTCGACTTCAGTATCTTGTTCGATTGGAGAGTGAATATCGTTGGTGCATTGGGGAGGTCAAAATTTAAAATTTCCAATAGTTTTCACAAGCGGCGGGAAAAACAACATAAAAATGAAGGAAAAACGGGAATTTTTACGCAAAATAGGTTTTTGACAAAATCGAATTTGGTTTTTGGTGTAACTTTAAAACAAATGACTGTAGGAACATGAAATTTTGACTGGTTGTTTATATTTACCTTTTCTATACACGATAACATTTTCAAAATATTTTGATTTATTATGAACTGTTTAGGGACATTTTCATTTTCCATTTTTTTTTAGATTTTTTTCTAAAAATATCAATAAAACTTTGTTTGTTGAGTAGAAATACTTGAAAATTTAATACAAGGTTCCTACTATATTGTTTCAAAGGCAGATGAAAAATATTAAAAATCGTTAGTCACAGTTTTTTTTTATAAGCATTTAAAGTTCAAAAATTGACAAATCACGAAAATTAGCAAATTATTTTGAGTTAAGTATTCGTAAAAATTTTTCTTTTTAAATCTAAGATTTGAAAATGTAATACAAGATTACTCATAAGTTTGTCTACCTTTATCAATAAAAAAATCTCTACCGGACAGTCAAATTAAATTTTTATGAGCGTTTGAAATTCAAATTTTTACAACATTGGATGTTCACTCGATTTCTCATGTAGCGATTTCCTTATTTTATTGTTATTCATAAACGAATAACTATAGATACATGAAAATTTCACTGAATGTTTGTATAAGCATTTCCTATACACCATACAATTTTGAAAATATTTTGACTCTTTTTGAGCTGTTTAAGGATATTTTCATTTTTAAATTTTTTTATTTTTTTTTCTTTGAATATCAATAAAGTTTTATCTGTTGGGCCAAAAAGTGTAAAAATTTAATACAAGGCTCCTGATATATTGTTACAATATCAGTTGAAAAATATTAAAAATACATAGGCACAGTTTTTTTTTATAAGCATTTAAACATCGAATTTTAACAGAATTTTTCAAAATCTCGAAAATTATTAATCATCGTAATTAATAAATTATAAAATAATCAGTTTTTATAGCTAAGGATTGAAAATTTAAAACAAGATTCTACGTAAGTAGTTAATTCTCTTACCGAAAAATCTAAAAAATATACAATCACAGTAATTTTTTACAGACATTTTAAATTCAAATTTGGACGAAATTACACATTAAAAAACCTAGTTATTTTGTTGTGATTATATAATAGTATTCATGGGTACCTACTTGAAACTTCTAAAGTTTACTATTATATATCAATGATAGTATCAGGATTTGTTATTGATGTTGATGTATAACGTGTTATAAGTACCTAATGGATATTGTGATAATGTGATATGATTAATTTGGAATTTATTATAGGTCAATTTTTTTTTTAATACCATAGATATGTACCTATATAATTTGTCTTAAACCTAGACTGACATACCTACCGTCCTCGCTCAGAATCGTTTTTCTTATACAATGATATTGTATCATTGAATTCAAATTTAATACCATCCATTATACAGTGACCCACTTGTAACCTACAGTACAGCAGAGCGACATCCACTTACCCACTTTTTTTTTATTCTTGGTTATCACAGCTGAAAAATTAAATATTCAAAATCGCCTATGGCATAACCTAGTAAACTTGTTAATCAATCATAATCCGTTTTCAAAACGTTTTTGGTCTAAAAGTCACTTTTTTTTCATCGACTGGAGCCCCCTTAAAATAATTTTTCTATAGGCTAAACTTTCTTTCAATCTGAAAATATAATAATTTATATTAAACTCGAGTTAGCATGTAAAATCTTAAAATAAATTTTCAAGTTTGAATTTTGTATTCAAAAACTCCAATTATGCACTAAAACCCCTAGAACGCCCTAAAACATGAAGAAAATGACGTTAAAATCAAAAATTGTCAAAAAATGCAAAATAAATTTTCTTATTTTAATTCTAAAGTACATTTTACGGATTTGTGACCAGGCGCACCGTACAGCACCCTCAGGAAAAAAATGAAAAGTGCATCGAAATCCCTGCACTAATAATAACCTTTTTTAATTTGTGTCTTTGTACACGATAAGTACCTAGTCGAAATATTGCTTCGATTTTCAACGAAAATGAATCTAGTTGGTGCATTGAGGAGTTACAAATTAAGCACCGGGAAAAGCAACATACAATTATTAAGAAACACCCAACATTATTACCCAAAATAGGTTTTCGTCAAAATCAATTTTGCTTTTTGGTGTATTAGAAATTTCTAATAATTCGCTGTACCTGGGGTACACTTGGGGTCAAAGCTAAGTTCAGATTACCTATGTATGTAGGTACTTTAGTATTTAAATGCATCTTGTAAATATTCTTAAAAAAATAGTATATTACAATTTATTATTTACATTGTCCTGCATTGTATCAATAAAAAAAAATATAAGTATGCAAATTTCTCAAACTACGATTTTGCATAATTGTTGAGAAAATTTAAAATTACATTTTAAGTGATTCACATTATTTAATTCATAACAATTTTAAGTTTAAGGTGAAACTTTATATTTTACTAAGCCTATTTAGAGATTAAACAAACAGTGCTATGAGCCTATGCATAATGAATATTATGTTGTTCTTAAAGCTAATTATGAATAATTGATAATATAAATTCAATTTCTATTAGAATGGACTTACAAAAATAAATTCTATTTTAAAATTAATTAAAATCTCAATATTAGTTGTAAAATTATTAAAAAAATTTTTTTTGATACATTATTAATTAATTTTTTACAATAAGTACAAGCGTTGTGGGAGGCTTGATAGGAGAATCTATCCAGTGATGGAACTTCTTGACAGATTTATTCAAAAAAATTAATGGCATTTTTATTCAAAAAAATTAATGGCATTTATTTACTTTCATTGTAATAAATCATTAATTAAGCATTTAATTTGGATTCAATTTTATCTCATTACTTGACATAGGGTTACTGTAATTGGTGCAAAAAAGTCAAATATTATTTTCATAAATTTGTAATTATTTAACTATAATACAAGTAAAAATTTGCTTAAAAATTAATTTTTAACAATTTGTAATTACAAATTATATTAATCTATAGTACAATAGATGGTACTTTAATACTTATTTAAGTCTTAAAAAAATAATGGTATAAGTAACATTAATATCATATTTTGTAATTTATTATTTTCACAATTAGATTTGGGCTGGTATTTTTGGTAAACCAAATTCATCAACAGAAATTTCACCAGGTTTACTAGGCTCCTTTTCTTTTTGTCCAGGTTCTTTGTCTGGAACATTCACTTGGTCTAGGTAAGATGTATCATCATCTAAAGCTAATTCATCACCAATTGCTTCAAGCTCTGCATTTAGTTCATCTTCATCAATATCTGGTACTCCATATGTTCTTCCTAATGCTTCTTGTACTTCATTTGATTGATCCAACATATCAGCCATTTCATCCTGAAGATCCTATAATAAAATTATACACTTAATTATAAAAAATGACAAATGATTTAGTGTTTTAAACAGTGAATCCTTTGAATAGATGACTACTCAGAATTTTAAGTAACATGTTACTTTCCTTCCGGTTTCCACCAATATAGGCTAATCTTTTAGTTTTCATCACTGTACTGGTTGGTAATTAATTATGTTATCAAATTCAAATCAGTAACTTTTAAGTATTATATTAGATACTATTAACTAGAATAACATAATTATTTCTTAGTTATTCTACCTAGCGCCTAGTAAAAATACCCACAAGTATTTAAAATCAAGTCCAACAAAGATTTTGACAATGATACTTGAATCAAAAATATATTATATTTAAAATTTTAAACCTTCTTTAGATTTAATTTTTAGTTATAGTGTGTATTAAATATTAATGTATAACTTGCACTTTGTAGCCATTATAGGTATGTATTATAAATATTAAAATATGTACCATCAAATTTAATGTAATTATATTACCCAACCTAGTTTTGAAAATTTGTCAAGAATTTCTTAGGTCCATAGTCCAAGTACAATAGTTACATTACTTCGGTATATATTTTGTTTTTTGTATGTCAAAAAGGGAAAAAGTATAAAGCTATACCGTTCATAATAAGAAGCACATAGGCGGCCACAGGCAAAACCGGTTTTCTTAAGTAAATCTATGAGTTTCTTATTTTGAACAGGGCATATATTATGATAGTTTCTAGATATCACTCATCACAGATATTAATATTAATCCGCCAAAAGCGGTTTGAGTAAAATGTAGAATGGCTCCTTTTAGTTTGTCAATTGAAAACAATTCTTAAATATCATGAATACTTAATGGATCTAGTAATAAATATTAAAATAATTTTATCTTACTTATAATTCTTACCTCAATATCGTCTATATTAATGTTCTTAAATTCTTTTTTCATTTGTTTCATACCGGTTTTCATAGCAACTACTGTTGATTGGGTGTCTTTCAATGACTGAACTGCATAAGAAGCTTGTTCCATATTGAATGACTGATTTCTTAAGTTTTCAGCCTGACTTTCATATCTGTTAATAATACATAATAATAAGTACTGGTAAAAATATTTAGTGCAAACCACAGACTAATATATTATTATATGTTGTCTGTGATGCAAACCCATAATTTTAATCAGATGCAGAAACAGGGAGTTAAGGAATTTCAGATCCCTCCCTTTGGACATGATATAATAATTATATGTATTATATTGTATATTATAATAAATATTCAATATACCAAAATATAATTTATCAACACCTTTAAAATATACATAGTACATATTATTAGGGATGGGTCATTTGGGAAAAGTGCAACTAATCAAGGATGAAACGTCTTAAAATCAAATATTATATACATTTTTATATAGCTAATGTATATTATTTTCAATAGCTCACTGTTTCCTTTGCTTCAAGACTCTTAACGCTTTTTGTTTCAATGAATTCTTAGCTGGGCCTTCTCTCATCTTGGCCATTTGATCTTTCAGTTTTTTTAACTCCTTGTCAAGTCTATTAATTTTCTGTTCTACCGATTCAGCCCGATCATCTACCTACAAACAATTTTAAACGTATAATTACTATTTACAAGCATATCTGAAAATCAAAGTCTTAAACGTAGGTATAATAGAATTAATTTATATAATTACTCCTTTTATGACGGCGGACATATCCGGAGCAGGCGCCTTTTCTTTTGATTTCCCGAATATACGGTTCATTTTACTTGGTGGTTAATACCTTTTTACTAAACTATAAAAACAAAAACAACTTGCTAGTTAGAATAAAATCTCGATTTCTTAATAATACTGTAAACACAGAAAAACAATATTAGGCACTAATAACAGTACAACCATTACAAAATAAACAATAACTTATTTAATTTTTAGTTTATAATGTCACGACTGACGATTCATAATTCACTTTTACTCATGTCTCATCTACCTTCTACCTCTAATCTCTATTGTAGTATAAATTGTAGAATTATAGACTATTCTGTGATAATTATCTCAATTACATCCTGATTTCTGATAACAGCACTTGTTCTCCCGGAGTGTGATAAGAAATGTATATACCATGAACATTAGAGGAAGGACGCCGAACTGTGTATATAAAAGTGGTCCGGAATTATCGCATTCCGCCAGAATGCGCGTCGGACCGTAATGATGTCGTTTTTACATGTACAGCATAGGGAATTTATTGGTTTTTTAATGTTATATTCTAAATGGTTTAACTTATGAATAATTACTATAGAACATTTTTTTAAAACCAAATTGCCCTCGATCGAATATATGTGTTTCCAATAATATACGACTTTTATAAAAAAAGATATAGTTGTTATCTCTTTTTATAAAAGTCGTATATTATTGGAAACACTTATATTCGATCGAGGGCAATTTGGTTTTAAAAAAATGTTCTATAGTAATTATTCATAAATTTCACCATTTTTAGATTATAATAATAAAAAACCATTAAATGTCCTATGCTATACAATATGTAAAAACGACATCATTACGTCCGACGCGCATTCTGGCGGAAGCGATAATTCCGGACCATGTTTTACGCTTCGTTTTGCCGTGTTCGGCGTCCTTCCTCTAATGTTCATGGTATATAGTATATTATTACTATAAAGACTATTATACCAGAATCCAACAGTGACATTGAACAGTGACACCAATCAGAAAATTATTTATAGTCATGCACGCCAGTGATCGGACAAAAAAACCGAAAATATCCCCCGAATATAAATGAATAAATGGATAATACTATATCATGTATATTTTATAACCAATATGGTTGTTCTAGTTAAGTATGTACACAATAAATCCTATAGCGAAAACGTTCCAGAACAAACGCCACGTAGAATTTCCTCGTAGTGGAAAATATATACCGTAGTATTAACATATGTTTATACCTTATAACCAATATACGTGGTACACATAACCTATTTATCTATAAAAATATTATCTCTAATTTTGAAAATCTTATTTTTCGACTCCTGGTTTTATTTAACAAAAAAAAATGGCATTCATCATCAATGCTTTTCAAAGATGTAAAGCTCTGGCTAAATTTCAAACACCAGTTAACGATACATGTGTAAGTATATAATATATTAACTATAACCTCAGATACTGCTTATAGAAATAATAATGTTAAATGTTAATTCACTGTTTTAAAATTTTCTAGTTAGGTGTGCTTCCTTGTTATCAACAAATTCGTAATAAATGGCCTGACTTTAGAATGAAAAAAGATGCACGGAAAAGAAACACTCTTAAAGAATATGGTGTATACAAGCTGCGCTATAATGCACTTCGTAAGAACAATATCATTCCTTTAGAAATTCAAGTAATTAAAAATGAAAAAATAACTGAAATTTATATTTTTGGGGTACCGCTTAATTTGATGAACTTATGAACTACTATATTTTTAAATAATAGGAAATTGCTGACAAAGAAATCTACAATTGTCCGAGGGACGCTAGTATAACTAGAATTGTACAGCGTTGTCAGGTAACTTCACGTCCTCGTGGTAATGTCAAACGATGGCGTTTGAGTCGAATAGTGTTCAGGCATCTAGCTGATTATAACAAATTAGCAGGTGTTCAAAGGGCAATGTGGTAAGTAAATGTTTTTATATTGGTAGTTACTCTTGATTACCTAATATACTTATATCATTTTTTTCTTCAGGTAAAATCAAAATGAAAAATGTTGCTGATGTATAGTCTTGTTTAACCAACAAATTAATTAAAATAATTTATATTATACTTGGAAGTTGGAGTGATATTTATGATTATTGTATTATAGATCAAGTAAATACAATGTTGATGAAAATAATACAATTTGTTATACATTATTTTAAGTTTTTACCTATTTATTTTATGAGTTAAGTGGTTGTTTCTTTTTAAATTATTTTTAAATATACAATCATCTAGATATTTTTATAATAAACTAGCTTATCTCTTGCAGTTTATTTCCCGTTAAATGTACCAACTCTATATGACTCAAACTTTGTTCAATTCGTTATTTAATATTCAGTGTATGGTGTTCAAAATTTATCTTAACTTTTCTGTTGCCTGGTATAAAAATTCCGATTTGCAGCAGTACATATATTATCAGGTAGGCAATCTAGGAAACCTGCGGTAGATTGCGAACCCCATGCTGTTTGTAACTTTATAATTTAGCTCTAAAGTATCAAAGTTATACCAAGTATATCACTGAACTCATCCTAAACGGCTGGACTAATTGTGAATGCCGAGTTTGTCGACCAATATTTCCTCTTCGTCAATGAAGATGTGGCATTGTTTTATGTTCGTAACTTTATGTGAGGATAGTACTCTCAATATTTATGTAATAGCGATACATATAATATTAAAACACAACGTACAAAAAAATTAAATGCATGAATGAATACGCTGATGACAAAATCGATTTTGCATAAAATATCCCGTTTTTCCTTAATTTTTCTTTTGTTTTTCTTAGCGCTTTTGAAAATTACTGGGAATTTTAAATTTTGACCTCCCCAATGCATCAACGATATTCACTTTCCAATCGAACAAGATATTGAAGTTAAAAATCGAAGCATTATTTCGACTACTTATCGTGTACACAGACACAAAAATTAAAAAAATTAAAAATTAAAAAAAAAAAACACACATCATTGTAAAATCAATACATTCATCGTTCCACTCAGAATCTAAAATAGAAAAACTAAAAGTTTTATACAAAATTGATTTTATTATTTTGTTGTAATGCAATAACGAAAAACAAAAAACTATGTTTATAGATAAGTACAGTGAAACCTCTAAATATCTGAAACTCTCGGTCACCAAAATTTCGTCCTCTAATTGGAGGTATTCGCTATTGAGAGTTGTCCGTTTAGAGATTTTACGGTACTTGATATTTTTACCAAATATGTAATTCAAAACATATTCATAGATTTGAAACTTTTCGCCATTACATATCTTATTATTTGTCATTGAAATTTTCAATATACTTACTGTATGTATGATTATATTTTAAGCTCTACTATCTATTTACATTTCTTAGAACAGTATAATTGATATTTTATTCTATCTTATTTGTATTTCTTAATTGTATTTGTCTATATTGTATTGTCTTGAAAATAACTATACAGTGAAACCTCCTTTTAACGGACAACTCACAATCGCGGACACTTCCAAATAACGGACCAAATTTTGGTGATCGAGAGTGTCCGGTATTTAGAGGTTTCATTGTACATTTATTAGGAGTAAAAATGTCAATTGTGGCGGGTGTAGGGGTGGTTAAACACCCAAAACTACTCTGACTACGCAACTGAATGTGACAATACCTATGTAACATTGTGTTGACGTCGTTGCTCACGTTTTTAAATTATTAAATGTAATAATAATACTATAATACCATAAAAATACTACCAAATGATTTTTAAACCTTAACCGGTTGTATATAGATGAAATGAGTATTTTCATAAAACATTTCAAACGAAAGCTATAGAAAAAAATTGGTAAAATGTATTTTTATTTGGTTTTGGTTTTGAGAAGGGGGGTGGCTGGGGAAATATACCTTAATCCTAATTCCTAGTTAAGTTAATGTAAAAGATTAATTCATATAAAAACATTTTAATAGTGTAAATATATGAATTTGATCTAGTGAATTTTTATCTGAGTAAAATATCCCTAGCAAAACTTTACTTGTGGTAAATATTCACTAGGGATATTTAACCCCGCCGTGAAAATTTACCTCCGAAACGATTTCGCTAGTGAATATTTAACGGGGGGTAAAATTTAACTGTGTCAAAAATCAAAATACACGGTTCCACCGAGACTGCACGAAGAAAAGTGTCGCCCGTAGCCGAGGTTCGACCTTAGTCCGATCGGCCACTCCGTCTCCCTATAATATATTATAAATTATAATACAATAATATAGTGATTAGTGATATTTAAATTAATAAATACACTAAAATGAATAATAATAATAATAATAATAATAATACATTAATAAGACCACAACAGTTGTTTACTCACTTTACTGTATAATTGCAATACTGCATGTCTGCATAGGCTACTACCTAGTTTTATAAAATATTTAATAAATCTAGATATCTCGATATTTTGTTAGCATGTATTACATAATATTCACAGACGGTAATGCAGTAATAAAAAAGGTTTTTTGTTTTTAATATAGTTTAATCGTGCTATTTATTAGTAGGTGTGCTCTGGAATTCACCTGCATTTTAATTAAATTATCCTTACGTACTCATATTTGTTATTCGTATCTATTCAGATAGGTAATCAAATTCGTTTCTAAAATGCAGGTAATTTCAATGACTTGATTCTGTAGATTTGTACGTCTATAACTAATCATATTTTTACATTACTTTTGAATATTGTACAAATAAATATTCAGTATAATGCCGGGTCCACAGCAGTGCCGCAACTACACATTATGGGGCTGATGTGCAAATCTTAATTTTGGGCTTAAATATACAAAATATATAAAATGTAAATAAATTATTATATTATCAAGCTATCTAAACAAAAATATTTAATTGTATAATTTATTGTTATAAAAATAGTATTATAGTATAATTTCAACACATTTGAAAATTTAACTAAATTATCTAACAGAATTGTCTTTTCTTCACTTTTGTGTTTGAACAGTTGTCAATGACTTTCTCTAGTCTCTACATCTATCTCGGAAGTTTTTCTCCATTCTATGTTCAGTATGGAAATGTCACTGAGACGATCTTTATTTATAGAATTGCGCAACAATGTTTGAATCATTTGATTTTAATTTGATCACAATAAATTATAAATATTTAATAATATGAACACATTTGTTTCTTTAACTCTTAATTTTTTTTTTTTATTATTTTTAATCTAGAAACTATACAATCTGTACATAACAAAAAAAGTACAATAAGCATAAATGATGGTTATTTTTAAAATTATAATTTATGAGTTTGAATATCTTGAGGGAAGAACCAACCAGCGAAGGCACTTCGGAATTCTTAATTTAAATTTAATTATCTTCAGTCACAGCTTTATAATTAATTTTAACACATCGATTTGGGGGCCTATATCGGATTGGGGCCTTGGGGGCCTATGTGCAATGCACACCTTGCACACCCGGTAGTTGCGGCACTGGTCCACAGGATTATACTATTCCTACCATATTATACTTGTCCCGGGTCCAATGCCAATCACAGACTGGACGCAATCTAAATTGTTTTTTTTTAAATAGAAACAAAACCAAAACCAGACTCTGTGTGGACATGGCATTAGACGTTTAAGGTTTTTTTTTTATTTTGTTACATTTACAACTACTTAATATCACTTTTAATTCAAAGTAATCAAAATGTTTAAAGATAATGTTTATTATAAGAAACTGCAAGAACAAAAAAACATTACCTACTGATGATAAAATAATACTGTAGTTCAAAATAATCAACAAACATAATATGTTTTACAGTAAAATTGTGTAAGTATATCTTCGATTTTCTAGATAAAGTCAACAATAAAATATAACATTTTCAAGGTATAAAGTCAAATACTATTCTTAGATACGACCTACCACTATTATAGGTAGAAGGTAGTTAATACACACAATACACCGTAATGGGTTCAAAACTTCAAAATGTATGGAACACGGTCTTAAATTCTAGTTAGGCATTTGATGGAAATCGGATTATACACAGTTGCGGCCACATGTTCATTTGATTTCTAACCGTATACGGTATACCATATACGTATGTGCTATACTGCTATGATACAAAACTGCTGATAAAAAATCAAAAAATAATATCTCTAGATAACTCTACGAGTGTTTCATAAAATAAGTGAGCATACATTTTGAAGATAACTTACATAAATGAAATAATATAGTCCATATTAGTATGAAAAACCAGGAATTCAATATTTAAAATTTTTTAGTAGGGAACGAGTAAACTGAAATGTTTCATACATTTTTTATACAATATTTACCTATATAGTTTGTATAGGGCTATTCACTAAACATGCTCACCACCATTTATTCAAATTTTGATTTTTGGAACTATTAGATATTATGCTCAAAGCTCATATTTTCAAATTCGTGAATTTTTTTGTACTCAAGACTTCAATAGTGTCTTATGGCGATACAAATTTTTGTTTTTCAAATGAGAACCTCCCATTTAAACTATATTATTTAGTGGATACTTTTTTTTTTAATTTTTATATTCCTACTTAGTACACATATTTTGAACGAGTAGGTACCTACCTATAGGCTATAATAATACAAAAATATAAAAAATATGTAATAATGTAGGTATTATTGAATCTAGTATTCATTATGCTTACCTAGACCATTTTTACAAATTATAAATGTTGATGGATTAATATTAATTATTACAATTTTCAAATAAGTACCTACAAAAGTTTCAAGAATTTAAAAAAATGGTCTTAAGTCAGATTTTGAATAACTGCATTATTGAAGTAAAAAAAGGGCGAGTGAGTGTGTTTGATGAGCCCTGTATTATGTATATATAGTATATACATTATTCTAATAAAAATTTAATTAAATTTAATCGTTTTTCTGCAGCTGGGGATTTTTACCGTATTTTTATTTCAGGGCTTTTTAACGGGATTTTTTTCCGAATCGACAAAATTATTATACATAATATAATAATTTGTTCTATACCTATGTTGTAATAAA